TCTTCTCACTAGTGCATGGAAGTAGAGGAGAATGGGAAGGAGGTAATTTATATCTTTTTTTTTTTCCAACTTCACAGTATAATTTCATATCCAGCCAAAACCGAAATATGAGTCTCCTGGCCCAAAGTCCAGATCATTTCTGCACCTGCTGTCAGGTTGGGCGCCTTAGAGGAGGGAGGGAGGACTACCTGGGTCCTGCTGTTCACTGAGAGTCACCAAAACTGGTGTCACAGCTCCTCCTGCCAGTTGCTATTGAGAAGGGGCTGAGAATATAGTGCTCAAGGTGACCAGGTTGTGTCGGTCTGCAAAGTCAAAGTCACCCAGATGGAAACCCAACTCCAGCTGGCCAGCCCCGCAGCACAGTTACTACTCCAGACAGAAACCTTCTGAGTAATGCAGCTGTAGTTTCTGTTACAGTCTGTTCTCAAGTGGCAGGTCACAGGCATCATGACTTGCAGAAGTAAGTGAATCCCGGAGAGGTGGTTCTGACACCAGGTCTTCCTGACTGCTGGACTGATTCCTAGCACCTGGTTTTAGGGCGGGCCCACAGCCAGCAGGGGCTGTGAAACATCCCGTACGTGGCCATGGCAAATAGGAAGAGTCCACTTTTAAACTTCTTTACCTGGATAGGCATACTCTGGGCCCACGGAGGGTCACATTTCTTCCCTCTCCTTCTCTTCCCGTCAGTCTCCAGAGTGTAGTACCAAGCACAGGTGGCCCCATTACTGCTGATTGTGTTCTTGTGTCTGAAGTAAGTGCCCAGATAGTTATGTGTGATTTACAGACAAACTTAACATTTCCAGTGTTCTGTAATGTTCCCCCTGAGCATCTGAGAAAAGAAATGAGCAGAGATGGGGTGAAGTGGTCAACCTGGGACAAGTTGTAAATCGCTACCTCAACAGTAAGTGAGCTTCCATGAGGCTAGTTTAGTTGAGCCAACACCTTGCTGGGAGTCATGAAACTTACCTGGGGCTTCACCAGGCCTCTTTTGTCTAAATGGGAAGAAATTTGAAAGAGTAAAACCAGATTTCAGACCTGGAACAGTCAGTTCTCATTGTTCCTAGATTCTATATTTGCCAGTTGCCTGCTGGCTAAATTTATTTATAACCCTAAAATCAATGCTTGTAACACTTTATTTATTTATTTGTTTGTTTGTTTATTTATTGCTTTAAAGGTGTTTATTAAGGAATGGCAGATTGTGTACTTGACACTTCTGGAATATGAAAAGTCAACTGTGGTCACATTTCCTCTCGGCTGTTACTGGGCGGGAACCACCACTTAGAGCAGCATCTCTGAGAGCTGTTACGGAACAGAGACCAAAGCTGGCCGTGTCTGAAGTTCTGGAGCAGCCTCACTCTGGCTTCTATGCCCAGAACTCTCTTCCCAGTGAGCTCAGAGGGAAAGCAATGGCCCCTGGAGAGAGGGCGGTCATTCAGACAGTGGTCTTTGTATTAATTGCAGTATGTAACTCTACTGAAGTCCCAGTGGCAGCCACACATAGATTGTGGGAAATTGTTTGGCAGTTTCTTATAAAGTTAAATGCTTTCCATCCTATAACCTAGCAGTTCCACACCCAAGTATTTACCCAAGAGAAATAAAAATATATGTTCACAAGTAGGCTTGTATGAAAATATTTATAATAGCTTTGTTTATAATAGCCCTGAAATGGAAACAACCAAATTTCCATCCACAGAAGAATATGTATATGTAATAAGTTGTGCTATTTTCATACAATGGACTATTTATTGCTCAGGAATAAAGAGGAGTACAGTATTTATACACTCAACAGTGTAGGTGAATCTCAGAGACACGCTGAGTGAATAAAGCCAGACACAGACATACTATATGAGCCGATTTGTATGAAGCTCAGGAACAGGCAAAATTAATCTACGGAACTAGAAATGAGAACAGTGGTTGTCTTTGAGATTTGGGGATTTACCAAATGGAGCATGAGGGAACTTTCTGGAGTGATGGAAATGCTCTATATTTTTATTTTGTTGGCGGTTACACAGTTGGGTTTCTTTATCAAAATGTATCAAATTGGCCCTAGCTGGTTTAGCTCAGTGGATAGAGTGTCAGCCTGTGGACTGAAGGGTCCTGGGTTGGATTCCCATCAAGGGCACATGCCCGGGGTTTCGGGCTTGATCCCCAGTAGGGGGTGTGCAGGAGGCAGCCAGTCAGTGATTCTCTCTCATCATTGATGTTTCTCTCTCTCTTTCTCCCTCTCCCTTCCTTTCTGAAATCAATAAAAATATATTTAAAAAACAAAAAAAACTTACCAAATTGTACATTTTAGAGCAGTATGTATTTTACAGTATGTAAATTTCCCCTCAATTTAAAAAATACTATTTTTGTAATTTTTTATGAATCTAATCTATATTATTTCAAAATCATAAGTTCAAAAAAGTACACTATAATTTCCATTTGTTTAAATATCTGGGGGCATACTTTATGACCCATATGTGGTTAATTTCTGTAAATGTTTCATGTGCACCTTAAAAAAATGTGTAGTACCAGTGTTGGGTACAGTATTCCATATCTGTTACTACAGTTGAGTTCGTTAATTATGCTATTCAGATCTTTTGTATCCCTACTTAATTTTTTCTGGCTTGTTCTGTGAGTTTAAATATTTTACAATCTTGATAATTTTGAACATATTAATTATAGTTATCTAGAGGCCCGATGCCCAAAATTCATGCACGGTAGGGGGTGGTCCCCAGCCCAGCCTGCATCCTCTTGCAATCTGGGACCCCTTGGGGGATGTTGGGCCTAAACCAGCAGTCGGACATCCCTCTCACAATTGGGGACACTGCATGCACCAGTGACCATACTTTTCATACAGGTGAAAGGCATCTTGCTGTTGTATGGGGAGCTACATTTTTTTGCCCTGATTATAAAAAGTAGTACATAACATGATCCTTCTGAGGCAGAAGTAGCATTTTCCCCATCTTATGGGTGGAAAAACTGAAGGAGAGAGAAGTTAAGTAATTGGCTTTGTCACACAGTTATAAGGGTCAGAATCAGGGCTGACCACAAAATGTGCAAGCCAGAGTCCATGCACGTCATCGCTGCATCATCCTGTTTTTTCAGTGTTAGAGTAGCCTTGCCAGGTTTTAATTTTTAAATCTAAGAGACTGTTCCCAATATATAGGGTAGGGTCCCTAGGCCTGGCTGGCGATCAGGGCCATCAGTGGGGCGACCAGCGGGCAGGGTGATGGGGGAGCCCCCCAGGGACCCACCTTGGCTGGCGGCCTGGCACTTCCCACTGGCCGGCCCCACCCTGTCCCCTGATTGCCACTGCCGGTCACCTCCCTCTGGGGGAGGGAGGGGCAGACGCTCAACACAGGAGCTGCCCCCTGCATTGAGCGTCTGCCCCCTGGTGGTCAGTGTGCGTGATAGCAACCGGTCATTCTGCTGGTCATTCTACCGTTCTTTCTATTTACGTATTAGGCGTTTATTATATAGGATTAAAGACCATGTCCTATGACTCTATTTGGGTCATGTCTGGGTCTTTCTATTGTCTCTCTTTCTTGAATCCATGCCCTGGAATGCCTAGCAATTGTTGATTGAATGCAGACATTTTGTATAAAGAGTCATAAACTCTGTAGATGATGGTATCTTTCTCCAGAGGCTGCTTTTGCTTCTGAGAGGTGGTTAGGGCAGGGCAGACCACATTAATCCGACAAGGAACTGAGCTGCTTTAAGACTCAGTTCTGGTATTATTTTAGGCTTTCATGGTAGGTGGTGCCCTTCAGGGGTCCTAAGGAAATGTACCTGAGCTTCTCCCTTTCTGGGGGGCCCTGAACTCCAATATTAATTCCTCCAACATCATGAAACTGCCCAAAGCTCTGTTTAATTCCCAAACCTGTTGGTGCTGCTTTCTGCTTGGTTTACCCCGTTTCTCAATTAGCAAATGCTTAGAGAGGCAGAATGTCCAGCTCACTTCTCTACATGTCCCTTCTCTCGGGGATTCCCTTGGTTTGCCAGAGGTCGGCTCACTTCGGGTGCCTCTGCGCAGCTGCTTTCTGCTTGGCTTCTCAGCAGTTCTGCGCTGGGCCTCTTAAAGATCAGTAGGTGTCCTGAGAAGAAAAGTGGTACCAGGTGTTGCCTCAGTTTTATTTCTCTTCTCCCTAAGATCTTGGCCTCTCATGTCCTGGCTGCCTTGGTGTAGCACTCCAGTATTTTAAACAGGTTTTTAACATAATCTTTATCCAGCTTTTCCAGTTGTGTTCAATGGGAAGGTGGTCTGATACAAGCTAGTTCCTCAGAGCCAGAACTGGGACTTCTTCTCTAAACCCACACAGGGATCTCCCCACAAAGGCCGACAGCCATTGTCATCCTGAGATTAGAAGTGATTTCTTCCTGTATCGTTGCCCCAGAAAGTAGCCTTCTTCTCCTGGGTTTTGCAAAGGCAGAATGACCTTTTGCAAATCAGCCATTTCCACCTCCATCCAGTTACAGCCTCCAGTCATGACGTCAGGGTTTGCATCCCAGCATGTTTGGAAGGATTGTGCATACCTTACATAGAGGGAGCCTATTAGCCTAGTTTGAATGTGATTAGCATTTGAATAAAAAGGTGCCTTGTGTATCTCTAGGAGAAGAGATAATGGAATGATTACTGCCTTCACTTCTGCTGGGCTGAATATGTGTCTGATAGTTCCTTGAATTTTAGCTAAACTGCCATGAAGAATAAATGTGAGAATTCTGTAAAGAAGGATGGAAGCTCAATTATTCATGGATATGGTTCTTTCAGTCCCTTCAAAAGTGGAGGCAGTTAATAATAAATGTTATTAAGGCACTAAAATAAATTTAGGCCAAGGAATGCACATTTCTTGAATTTAAGGTTAGTAAATTTAATTGGAAGTTTCAGCAAAAACCTCTTTTGACTTGCCAAAGAATGGGAAAGAGATTCATGTTGAAGGCATTCCCAGAGAGAACTGAAGATATAAAACTCTTGCTGAATTGTGTTTTTTTGTTTTTGTTTTTTTTTTTCTGAACAGTTCACAAGGGTGGTGATTCCCAGGCTTTCTCGAAATGTACCTCATTTTCTGGCACACTTACCACTGAGGGTGAATTCTCCTTTTAACAAGAAGAAAATTCTGGTGGAGAGCTACCAACAAGGACAGGACGTGTGGCTGTTACGGTAGGTAAGTCATTTGTTTAGAGGATGGGGAAAAAAGAGAAGTAACTTGTAGAGAAAACACTAAAGAGCGTTTCCTTATTGGTGAGTGGGACTCCAGAAATGGATAGTACACATTTCACTAAATACCAAGTTAAAAGGTCCTTATCGCCCCAGCTGGTTTGGCGCAGTGGATAGAGCGTTGGCCTGCGCACTGAAGGGTCCCAGGTTTAATTCCAGTCAAGGGCACATGCCTGGATTGTGGGCTTCCCCCCCCCCCCCCCCCCCCCCCGGCGGGGGTGGGGTTGGGGGTGAGCAAGAGGCAGCTAATCAATGATTCACTCTCATCATTGTTGTTTTTATCTCTCTTTCCCTCTCTCCCTTCCTCTCTGAAATCAATAAAAGTAAAATTTTAATTTAAAAAAAGAGAAAAAGGTCCTTATCACAGAAGATCTTCTAATTCTAGATTTCATTCCCAGCTCTTCCCCTACCAGCTAAGTAAACTTGGACAAGTCACTTATTTTTTTCTAAACCCCAGTCCTTCCATCTGTAAAGGGGAATTTCATAAGAAAATGTTTTACAGATGGGACAGAGTAATATAAAAATGCAGTTATCATTGTTTATTATTTTTACTGCTGTTATAAAATTCTGTGGAATAGTTAGTGGCCTGTGTCTCATGGTGTGTTTGTACCATAGAACTTGGTGCTGTGAATTGGAGAGCTTCATCTTGTTCCCCACCTGCCGGCCCTCTAAGTATAACTCATACCATTCTTTGGGCTGCAGATACCTGCTAAGTACTTTTGGAAGTTAGGGGACAGGATAGAAGTAAAGGACAAGATCAAAGGAAAAACAACAACTGTATGCATTGTCATGGCAGGCATTGGTTCATGAAAAATAAATAATGTATTTTCTAAAACCCTTGTTGAGCACATATTATGACCTGGGTACTGTTCTGGATGCTTGTTCCCTCACGGAGGTCATGCTGTAGCATGGAGGGAGGCAGATAGTAAATCATGCACATACTAAAGAAATAAGTAAATCGTTAGGATATTAGAAGCCAATAAGAACATGGGAAAAAGAAAAAGTCGAGCTGAGTGAGAGGATTTGGGGGTGCTGGGTGGGGCAGGAGTACAAATTGCAGTTTTAAAAGGAGTGGCCAGGGTTGGCCTCATTGGGGAAAGACAGGAGGTCAGGGATTCGCCCTGGGCGTGGTCCAGGCAGAAGAAGAAGCTGATGCAGAGGCCCTAAGGACAGTACAGACTGAAGACCCACGTCATGGAGCGGGTTACATGGGAAGGAGTGTGAGGGGGTGAGTTTGGAGAGGCAGTGTTGGCTCTCGAGGAAATAATGCCATTTCCTAGTTTTAGATAAGGAAGAAAAGTTACCTTGGTTGTTTTTTTGTTTGCTTGTTTGTTTTGTCTACCTGGTTCATTCTTAGTGTGTTTCCTCTACAATTAAAACACACGAGCTCACACGCACACTAAATAAATTACAAAATGACCACTGTATTAGTGTCCCACGGCTGCTGTAACGAAGTACCACGGACTGGGGGAGCTTAAAACAACAGAAATGTATTATCTCACAGTTCTGCAGGCTCGAAGTACAAAGTCAAGGTAGGGCCATGCTCCCTCTGAGCCGCGTAGGGAGGAATCCTTCCTTGCCTCTTCCTGGCGTCTGGTGGTGGCCATCAGTCCTTGGCGTTCCTTGGTTTGCAGCTGTATCACTCGGCGTCTGCCTCTCTGGTCACAGGGCATCGTCCCTGTGTGTTTGTGTCTTTAATGGCCATCTTCCCCATCATAAAGATACCAGACACGTAGGTTGAAGGGCCCACCCTCCTTCAGTCCGACCTCACTTCACCTGTTCCATCTGCAACAACCCTGTAGGTACCGGGAGTTAGGATTTCGGTATGCATTTTGGGGGACACAGCTCAATGCCTAACAGCCACCTTAAATAGGAAACAATATGCATTACTATTTCCATCTTACAAGCGGAGACACAGGCTCAGACGCTTAAATGACATGCCCACAGTCAGAGTCAGGAAGCAGAAGTGTCAGGCCAGGGCAGTGTTACCATGCTCCTCCTGCACTGCCGAGGGAGTGTGAGGATGGAGGGGATGGAATTGCTGTGGCTCAGGACAGGCCCTGCACACATACAACATCGCAGTCCCCATCCGCATCATACAGCCTAATCCCAACAGAGCTCAAAACTGGTGCTCTGTTTCAGCATTCCTTTAAAAGGGAAACGGAGGGCCCCTCCATAACCCGCCCCCCATTTTACTTTTCATTCCATGGCATGACCAACATAGGAAACAGATGCTTTTTCCCTGCTTTAGGAATTTTTCCAGAAAAATAAGCAGCGTCTGTGGCGTGTGAGCATTTTGTGACAGGACCACATGTTTTTTTTCTCACATGACATGGGGGGAAAAATATATGGCTCTGAGTCAGTTGGAATACAGCAGTAGAAATAGGGGATTTTGGAAGCATTGAACATGTTTTGTTTTCTCATTATATTTAGCAATTCCTTCTTAACAGGAAATCTGGCTAGCTATTTGTGAGCCTGAAATCAACAGGACAGCCTTATTTTAGACTTAGTCTTGAGGTGTACACCTGAGGAAAGGAAGGACACACCAAAACATACGGAACACTTTGCCAGGAGGAAAGTGGGCGCAGCCACCAAAGGCTGTAGCCTCAGAGGAACGTCAAAGTCTCCGTCAACTCCTAAGTCTGGGAGATGAGACCAAACAGTGGTTGGAAAAAAAAATGTCCTAAGGTTAAAACTGGAAAGATCAGAGCTCCATGAAGAGGTGGTGTGAGGGATAAATCCAATGGTTCTAAAAATGGGGAAGAAGGTTGGGGAGACCTGTTTGTTTTTGTCTCTGACTGTAAAGTGTGGGGGTTGGAGTGGAAGGTGTTGGGTAAACCTGGCCAGTCCCCTACCAGCTTTTCCTAGACAGGGTTGTTAGCCATTTTTGTTGTTACATGGTCTTATAGTTTCTTCTCAAGGTCCCTTCTTTTGATCTCTGTTCTCAATATGTTTTTATTCCCCCTAAGTTCTTGGGCTTCTCTTTCCACTTGACAGCTGACGGCTTTGGATCTGTGTGTTGGAGCAAATGTTCTTTTGTATCAAAAGGAAGGAGGGGGGAAAGCTGCCTCTCTTCCAAAGATGCTTCTACTCTTTGTGGAAATCGATTTTTTTTTTAATCCTGAAAGTGTGTGGAAAGAGCAAAGCCTTTATATTTTTCTACTGAATTAAAGGCTTTAATTTTTCTGCTGAATTAAAAGACCTCCCCTCTTTCTATTGTCTGAGGTCACCACCCCTCCTGAGAACACGGCTCGATCCCAAGGGCCTGCCCGGGGCTCAGAGGCCAGTAAACACAGATGTACGCTGTCCACTTTGGATAATCTGGCCGGCACTTTGCAACTGCAGGTAAACCGGTGGTGCTGCTGCTGATTGGGATTGGCCAAGCAAGTCAGGGTCACTGGTTTGAATTGCTTCCCAGCTGCAGACATTCTGGGAAAATACCAGGCTTTTCACAGGAAATGCCAAAAGGTGACAAATATTAGAACTTAGAAACCTATTTAATCCCTCTTATCACTGTGGAATAGGAATAAAATCCTCCTTATCTCCCAGTAGTGGTAGATTGTTGAGCAATGAGAAATAGTGAGGCCTTTAGGTAGAGACCATTATAAAATATTTGTTATTTTTTGTTCAGGTAAAATTCATATAACATGAAAGTAACCATCTTAAAGTTGAACAATTCACTGGCATTTAGTACATTCGTAATGTTGCACAACCACCACCTCCATCTCATCCCATAACATTTTCGTCAACCCAAAATAGAACGCCATACCCATTAAGCAGTTACTCCCCATTTCTCCTTCCCCTCACAGACCCTGCCAGCCCCCAGTCTGCTTTCTGTCTCTATAGATTCTCCCCTAGCCATTTCATATAAATGGAATCAAACACTCTCTGACTCGCTGTGCTTGGTGAGACATTTACTTTTAATTGCAAGTCATGTATGTTTTCAGTCTTCCCTTATGGTTACTCAGGGCAAGGTGGGTGCTATGGGAACGTTCACTTCTCTCATTAAAGCCTCCAGCAAGAAACCTGCTTCAGGAATACCTGCTTCAGGTTTGTTGCTGGTGGGGTTCTCTTTATGAGACAAACAGCAGTTTAGAATTGAGTTCCTTCGTTTGCAAGGATCTAAAGCAGGGGTCCTCAAACTTTTTAAACAGGGGGCCAGTTCACTGTCCCTCAGACCGTTGGAGGGCCGGACTATAGTTTAAAAAAAAAACTATGAACAAATTCCTATGCACACTGCACATATCTTATTTTGAAGTAAAAAAACAAAACGGGAACAAATACAATATTTGTATTTGCATGTGGCCCGCGGGCCACAGTTTGAGGACCCCTGATCTAAAGAATTCATCTTTACCGAGTTTCGTTTCTGTCCTGAGACTCAACCTCCTCCAGCACCTTCTCCCCCCACCTCCAGTTTATGTCATTGTCTAGTGGTCGGAGCACTAGTTTATGCCATCATCCAAATGAACCTGTAATTGATATTTTGGCATTGGGATAGCCAGAGATTATATTGCTAGCCTAAGCAACAAAGCATAGTCTCCCCCTCCCCCCCCCGTCACCCCCCAGCCAGAGGAGTTAAATGATACCAACCGTTGAAGATGAAAATTTGAGAAATACTTTACACTCTCATCTCTTGGGGAGGCTGATCGTCCCCCCTCTTCTCTTCCCTCCCGGGTGAAATAGAGGCTGCTCAGGGAGGGCTCTGGGATGCAGACAGAAGAGGCATTGAAATGAGATTCCTGTTTCCATCTGCCAGACGTAACCCAAGATGAGTTGCACAGATGAAGCTGGCAGAGGAACAGGGAACTGGATGGCAAACAAGGTTGTGAAGGGACCGAAATTCTAGTTAAAACCTTTTGCAGGAGCAAAAGAGCCTGCAAATCTAATAATGCAAAACCCAAGAATAACGTTGGTGCTGTGCTAATGGTGTCAGCCAATGCAACCTCT